ACCGTGTGGGACAGGTGTTTGAGAGCCAGAGGCACGTGTGCGACAAATGGTTGCTCACGCACTACTAACCCAGCCAACAGCCCTTGTCTTTCATATTCGTTATAGCAAAAGGTTCGTTCGGTGTTTGTTGGGTAGGCTGCTCCATTATGACAATCTTTCTTTGTTTCAAATGTGTTCCATTTGTTTTGTATTTGTCACTTACGTCTCAATAATGGAGCAGCCTACCCAACAAACACTGAACGAACCTTTATGACATTTGTCCATTTTTCAAATTGTTTCAACAGTTCTTTTATTTTTCGTTTTTTTTTTTTTTTAAGAAACATGGAGCAGCCGACCTGTAGACCACCGAACGAACCTTTTTGACATTTGTACTGGTTTTCAAAATTCTTAATTTTTTTTATTATTTACGTTTTTTGTATGTAAGAAACATGGAGTAGCCTACCTGCCGACCACCGAACGAACCTTTTGCTATAAGACAAATGAAAAATAAATATTGAACACATTTGAAGAAAGGAAAATGTCATAATGGTTTATTCAGTGTATGTAAGGTAGGCTTCTCCATTATTGAGACGTAAATGACAAATAAAAAACAAATGGAACACATTTGAAACAAAGAAAGATTGTTATAATGGAGCAGCCTACCTGCCGAGCACCGAACGAACCTTTTTGACATTTGTTGTATATCAGACATTTCATTTCTTTTTTCCTACAAAAACGTCAATGCTTTGCAACATCTCAGCAGTCACCCTTTTATATCCCAGCATCATTAGCATCTTTAAACAAGACCAACATAATATATGTGCATCGTCGGAAGCGTCTAAGAATGTGCAAGAAGCAGCGCGACCCCACCGTGTGGTGTTGACGTTACTCAAACCAGCATTCGTCATACGGGACGATTTGACGCCGATCGGGCCGTTCGTTACCCAAAATATTCGTCTTTTGGGGCAATCGTTATGCGAGGTACCACTGTATTTGATATCCATACCCAGCTGGCGACCTGAATAGACCAGATATCCAAGAGTGTATTCCAGTGTCAGGATGGGCAGGTTAGGTGAGTTATAGGAAGCTTGAACCTCCCCACTCGCTAGGGGTGTATAAGGCCAGCCCTTAGTTGACTGGGGGAGCACACGGGCGAGCAGTGGCGCCTGGTACTGTGGGGCTAAGACCCGTGGGACGACCCCAACCACAGGTAGGAAGGGGGGGTGAACCCTGACAATACAACGTTATATGTAAGTATCTGCATGCTTTGTTCACCATAGCGAACCACTAAGCTGGTATAGTAAGTGCCGACAGCAACAGGTGGCCACACAGATTCAGCAGACGACGCCACAGCCCTCCCTCCCTCTCACTCTCAACATTACTCCTCAAACAGCACAGCGCAAATTATCACAACAATCCTGCTATTAGCAGAATCCTGGTCATTTCTATCACAGTCAGGGGTCTTCTGTAATACTATCATCACTATATAATACCAGTTACATATATTTTTTACATTTTTAGATGATGGTCACAAGCTGAACAGCAGTGCTGTGAGCTCATGCTGTGTGCACCAGCCTTGGTGGTTCACTCAGTACCGAGGCTTTCACACCCGTGAATGTTGCCCACAATTTTTTTTTTTAAATGGCGTGTTTACCAGAGCCCTGAGGAAGCTGATGTGAACCCTGTGTAGCCTCGGGACTTTTAAATCTTGCGTGGTACTCCAAATCATCATATGATGTCGTGAGCAATTTATCGACAGTTACTCAAGACATCATCCACAGTCTCTGTACCTAAAGCCTATTAATTCCACTGACGTCAATGAGATAATCCTTTCCCTTAAAACCAAGTCTAGTGCCCTTGAGGAGATACCAACTTTAATTTACAAAAAAGCCTCCAGATCTTTAGCCCCTGCTATTGCATTGCTCTTCAACAAGTCACTTGAACTCCAAACCTTTCCAGATGTTCTAAAAAAAGCGAGAGTGACGCCTGTCCACAAATGTGGTGATCCCACAGATGTTAACAACTACAGACCTATATCAATCCTCCCAAACTTGTCAAAAGTTTTTGAAAAACTAATCTATAAGCAGCTTTACTCTTATCTAGCCAAACACAATATACTTAGCCCTTGCCAATATGGCTTCAGACCCAAAAAAAGCACTAACGATGCACTTATTAGTATGCTAAACTCGATTCATACAGCTCTTGATAAAAATGAGTTCCCTGTTGGGTTATTTGTGGACCTGCGTAAAGCTTTTGACACTGTCAACCACCAAAACCTTCTTCTTAAACTACATCATTATGGAGTCAGAGGACACTCCCTGCAATACCTCAAATCCTACCTTACTGACAGGCTCCAATATGTTTCTGTTAATAATTCAATTTCTCCCACCCTACCCATCAACATTGGTGTTCCTCAGGGCAGCATACTTGGCCCTCTCCTCTTTCTCATCTACATTAATGACCTTCCAAATGCCTCCCAACACCTAAAACCAATTCTATTTGCTGACGACACAACCTTCATTTACTCCAGTCCTGACCCCGTTGCTCTAAATGCCAGAGTAAATACTGAGCTAAATAAAGTCCATCTTTGGCTAACTGCCAACAAACTCACCCTTAACATTGACAAAACTTTCTATATTCTGTTTGGCAATAAATCCTCTAATCAAATAAATCTCAAAATAAACAATACCCAAATTTGTAACAAATTAGATGGCAAATTCCTTGGCATTCTCATTGACCACAAGCTGAATTTCCAGGGACACATTCTAAATATATCAAAAAAAGTTTAAAAAACTGTTGGCATTCTTTCTAAGATCAGATATTATGTACCCCGCCCTGCCCTGGTGACTCTCTATTACTCCCTCGTCTATCCATATCTCAACTATGGTATTTGTGCTTGGGGTTCTACTACCCAAAATCCTTTACGTCCTCTAATTACTCAACACAAAGCTGCTATTAGGACAATATCCAACTCCGGCCCCAGACATCACTTGGTACCCCTACTCAAATCTCTGAATATGTTAGACATTAAGTCACTGCACATTCTCTCATGTGTATTATACATATATAAAACTCTAAACTGTAATGCCAATCCTGACCTCAAAAGCTTCATAGAAGGTTGTAACAGAACCCATGAGCACCACACCAGAAATAAATACAGTTTTGATATTCCTAGAGTACGACTTAATCAAACTAGAAATGCTCTACAAATCAAGGGACCCAGATTGTGGAATGACCTTCCCAACCATGTTAAAGACTGTACCTCTCTCAACCAGTTTAAGATAAAAGCGAAGCTATACCTAATAAATTCCCTGTAACCTACCTTACCCCTCTAATGTCATCCAATGTCTGTTTTTTTTGTTTTTTTAAGAGCGCTGTTTGTCGACAGAATTGTATTTGTGCTGCTTTTTCAGCTATGTTTTCATTCCATGTTTTCAGTTTACTCTTTATGCTCAATTAGTATTAAGCTTTAGTCATTTAAGTTTTTTATGCCCGAAACGCTTTGCGTAATAGTGGCTTTAGGCATTGTATGTACTAACCCTAACTATTAATCCATCACTCTTTGTAAAATCTCTTTTATGTATGTACCTTACCTAAATAAACATTTTTATTTTTTTTTATTTTAATCATATGATGTTTTGTGCAGTTTAATGGTTAAGAGTGTCAACATTTATGCCCTAATATTTCCCATGCTCTATGGACTAATTTTGCAGAGCAAAATTTTAATTTCAGCTGATCATATGATGGACAACTACCAGGAGATTGTGACTGTAAAGCAATTTTGCTCTCCTTGACAGTATTTTTTGGGAGCCTGCTTTTTCAATCTTATTTTTTAAAGGAGCTCCAATATGGTGTAAATGCACAAGGCCCATCAACTTTCCCACTGGTCTTTCAAATCTGGCCCGGCGTCCAGGGTAAATCTGCACATGAAATACTTGTTACGGGAAGTGGGCGAGTATGTCCTGCCCCAGAAAATGTGCACTGCAACCAAAGAGTCATCAAACTGAAATTGCTCTGTACATAAAGGTCATGGAGGAGGAGAACTGCATTATGTCTGAAGTACAGAAACATTGTTAGTCACACTGTGTAACAATCTCTAGCATTTCTAGTGGAACATACAGGCGAGTATAAAGCTGCCTGGGTGAATTCTTGATGTATAGAGTCATTACTGTAATATTATTGTACCAAGGGGTGCAGTATTCGCTACCAAGGCTGGGCTCTGATTCTCAAGTGGTGTGGATCATACATTACCTTCCTTATTTTGCTAGGATCAGTCCCAGCTCTGCAGCAGCAGTTTCCCACGGTGGTGGCGACTTGCAGTTTGATGCATAGTAACTAGGCGTTATATACCAGACAGTGTGTGTAATGTTATTGATTTGAGTGGTAAGCTACATTTGACTGTACTAAGCAGGTTTGAGTCCATAAGAACCCTAAGTCTCTTTTTGAAGCAGCTTCCAATTTAATTTTTTGAAATTTTTATTGCTAGAGATGCCGTAAGGGTTTGGAATCTAGTTCCAAGCAGTCCAAATATGCTTCAATACACGAGGGTTCAGTTTTTGTCAGGTCTGAAGGTTTTGAGTAGGCAGTCTTGCTGATTTTTGGAGCAACTGCTTAAGAGTGACATTTGATTGCCTTGCTAAGAGATGTCTGCATTTATCTGGTCCAGGTGCCCATTTTGAAATTTAGAGAACCTAGGCAAACATTACATGATTTGGGAACTTTCCTCAAGACACAGTACAGAGAACTAAGACACTTGTCATATCATATACAATCCTCATCCATGGGGCAACCAAAATCACAAGCAGCAGCAAAAAGATTAACAGTCACACACTCACTTTTTCACTCCTTCACTTTTTAAAAATTTATTCCATTTCACTTATTCCTACTTTTGTCTGCTATAAACATAGCACATGAAACTTTCCTTCTTTAAGAACTGACGATGCATAAACTTGTAAATATCACACAACAAATATAAGAAACGACACGATATAGTGAAAATAAGCGAAGACGACGAAGCTCACCTGGTGAAGCAATCCGAATTCCGGCAATATCTGTCATTTCGTCATGTGGTCGCTCTTCAATAGGAATTTCCTTGCCTTCATCTAAGCTTAGGTCAATAGATGTAGTAGGTGCACACACGTAAAAAGGAACATTGTGACACTTCGCAGTGACGGCTAACTGCAAAAAGAAGTGAAACTAATTATTAGCCACAAGATGTACAGTACCAGCTGTGGGGAACTTCATGCTATCTTTTATTTACTTCGTGTTAAGTTTAGTCATGAGGTGGGCAATATAGTGCATTCAAGTTATCAAGGGCTACACTGGCCAACAATATATAGATCTAAAGCTCGAATGAACTACTGTACTTAAATAGTTTCATTTTCTCTTGCACAGATATAAAGATAATGTACAACACACACACAAAACCCTTCATCAAATGTAATGAAACATTTTTTTCTGGTAGGGCCTCAGTGGCTCCCTGAAGTTATCTTGTAGCCGAGTCACATCGGCTTTAAGAGTCCTGTATGGGCTGCTTGATACCTGCTTGATGGGGTTCTGAGAGTTCTTCTACTCTCCAAGCCCAGTCCGAGGCCAGACTTGACTTGTGAGAGACTTGTGACTTGTCCACCAGGCTGTTGCTTGGAGCGGCCCTCAGACCCACACACCCATCACAGCCCGGTTGGTCCGGCACTCCTTGAAGAAAACAATCTAGTTTCCTCTTGAAGATGTCCACGGTTGTTCCGGCAATATTTCTGATGCTCGCTGGTAGGACGTTGAACAACTGTGGCCCTCTGATGTTCATACAGTGTTCTCTGATTGTGCCCATGGCACCTCGGCTACCATGGCCCATGGCTACCAGGGACCAAAGCTAGAATCCGACCTCCTCACAGAGGCACAGGGAATGTTATAATCACCCTCACTGATAAAACATCCAGAAAGTAAGCAAAGCAATACAAACAATTGCAGGGTTCAGAGAAAGAAAGAAAAGCATTGATATAGCCAAATGACTGCAAATGATTCACTTAGAAACTATGGTGAAGCCCCCAGGTCAAGGCTGGCCACTAACAGGTAGCAACACCACTGGGAGCTCCTGGGTTCCACATCATCATAACCAAAATATGGAGCTGAAAGACCATGAACTGGCACAGCTGGTATAGAGGGAGTGGGAAGCAGGGAGGCCCTACCAGAAAGAGGCATTTCATTATATTCAACACAAGTTTTCAGGAAGCATTGACTGGTGGCTCCCTGAAGCTAACAGCAGAGTAGAAGGAAAACACAGAACTCACTAGGGAGGAGTGAGGCAACGATATCCATAAAGATGAGACAATGACCTGACCCAGGGCAACAAAAGCCTAATGGCGACTAGGGGACACTGACAAGGAACAAGCTGCCAGGAACCCAATTAGATTTCCAAAACATCTGAACCTAAATAACAGCCCATGATGTGTTCAAAAACACCACAGACAAAGCCGTAAATTTGCAAACAACAGGGCCAAGGGGAAGACCGCAGGCAGGCTAGACTTAATGACACTGTGGACGAAATAAGGAGAAACAAGCCCTGGAATAGATAACCAAATGCACCAGGGTCAACAGAGTTCATCCACCGATGCAGAATTGGAGGAGTGCAGATAGCGATGAACTGCCACAACTGGACATGGCAAATGATGCACCACCGGCTGGACATAAACAACCAAACGATCCCTCCAGAAGCCAACAGCCACAGTCTTCTCCAAAAAAGGAGAAGGTGCAAATGAAGACACTGACCACTAGGGAGGAAAGAACAAAATCCACTCTTCCAAAGAAGAGCATAAAGCTTCCCCACCTGACAACCAGAAGTGAGGGCTAACAAAAAAGCCATGAAGAACGTACCACAGATTGAAGGGGCAATCAAGAACTGAGGGAAGGAGAGAGATACTAACAAAATCTGATGAGACCAAGACATAAGAACATTAAAATAAAGGTAACTGCAGAAGGCCTATTGACCCATACGAGGCAGCTCCTGTTTGTAACCACCCAATCCCACTCATATACATGCCCAACCCACACTTGAAACAATCAAGGGATCCCACCTTCACCATGTTACACGGTAATTGGTTCCACAAATCAACAACCCTATTACCGAACCAGTATTTACCCAGATCTTTCCCAAATTTAAACTTATCCAATTTATACCCATTGTTTCGAGTTCTATCCTGTGTTGATACTTTTAATACTCTATCAATATCCCCTTAGTTATGTTCATTTATCTTCTTGTACACCTCTATCATAGCACCCCTAACTCTTCGCCTTTCCAGTGAATGTAACTTAACCACTGAACTGCGCAACGCGCCTGCAGGCGCTCCGGGATCTTATATTTTTAGCGTATAATTCAAAACTCACGTGGCTACATGGGGTTCACATCAGCTTCCTCATGGCTCTTGTAAACAGACGCCATTTAAAAAAAAAATTATGGGCAACATTCCTGGGTGTGAGAGCCTCAGTACTGAGTGAGCAACCAAGGCTGGTGCATGCAGAATGAGCTCACAGCACTGCTGTTCAGCTTGTGACCACAGCATCGCCTACACTTCTGAAGAGTCAACCAACACAACACTTGTACCCCCAATTAGACTATTTTACAGGAACTTTTTTTCGACAGCTCATAAAACGGAGGAAAGGGTCCTGAAAGATATTGTTGATAGGAACGTCATCCCTACAGACAAAAATCAGAAAATACAATTGATAATTTATTATAAAACTAAAAATACGGCCAATCTACTCATGAAAAACTCCCCAGACACCAAGCAGAACGCTTCGAAGGAGAGCAACGTTGTCTATGCCTTTAAATGCCCACTTGGGGACTGTAAGCCCCAAAGAACTCAGTATATAGGCAAGACAACAATGTCTCTTTCTAGGCAACTAACAATGCATAAGCAACAGGGAGCCATCAAGGAACACAATCTCTTCTCACAACCAGACCATCACCAGAGAAATCTTAACAAACAACACAGAAATCATCGATAGGTACGGCGATAGCAGGTGGCTTGACATCAGCGAGGCCCTACACATCAAAAAGTCAACACCAACAATCAACAGCCAATTAATGCACAACTATATTCTACCTACTTCAAGACCCCGAACCAATATGGAAGCAGCAAGAGGAAGTATGGGCCAATAGACCTTCTGCAGTTACTTCCATTCATATGTTCACTTATCCAGTTTATACCCATTGTTTCGTTTTCTGTCTTGTGTTTGTCACCTCACCCATAACTTTTGTACCATATCACCTCATCCAATAGAGTATAAGTACGAAGAATTTGTGCATAAATTAAGTCTTTGAAAATGTAATACAAATTACGAAACGCATTCAGGCGTCAGACAATTAAAAAATGAATTTCGGAGAATTGTTATTTGTATTACCACTGACAGTGAAGAAAAACATAAGATATATTGAGAAGATTTGTGTTAGAATTAGTACCTTTTTCGGTCATATTCAACAACATACATACATTAGTATATTTTGGTAGCAGTCTTTCTTGTAAACATATGTTGTAAACACTTTGGCGTACCCCGCGCACCACCCCTCAACTGTGTGATATGGGACCCAGGGTGTCACGGGAGCGCGCGTAAATTCTGAAAAGTGTATACACTCTTCAACTTTGTCACCTTAATTCTTGTCCTACGAGATTAAATTTTGTATCATTGTGTTCGCAATAGAATTCTCTACAACACTAAATGCATATAAACTCCAAAAGCCCGGCTAATTACCTGCAGCAAACAGAGAAAGTGCGAACGAGTTACCTAGGAGCGCGCAAACTCGATAAAATGTTTTCACTATTTTCACGCTGGTCACCTCAATTTTCGTCCTAGGTCTTTCATTTTGGTCTCAATGGGTTTGCAATAGAATTCTCTAGAGGAACATTAGCATATAAAATAAAAAACCTCGTCACGCTCCAACCGTAGACGAGTTGAAGACGGGCCACGCGTTAGCCGCAAGTGAGTGCTCAGACGCCTTCCAGCTACACTCCCAATTCCCGCCCTTTTCAAGCCTTTCTTTCGCAATTTTCTTCCTGGAAGGGCCTTGTTCATGATCACTATCCATCGTGGAGTAAGCGTAGATAGTTTCTAAAGCCGCAGTAAGAAATATAGCCACGGAAAATAGCCGAAATGTTCACACGTTTGAGATGCGAGGGGAGGCGACATTGGTCACAACAGTGGAGCGAAAACAATAGGCCCACGGCGTGTGCCAAGCAGCCTGAGGGCCACAAGGCTCAACAAAGAAAATGGAAAGACATCGGCGAGCATTTTAAAACCAGTCCCCAAAAAATCGGATAAAAACCTGATTTTTGGCGATTATTTAAAGTGGATGACGCAATGCTGCGTCATCCCCGGCATTACCGACAGTAAACGGATGACGCAATGCTGCGTGATGCCCGGGTGAAAGTGTTAAATATGACCTAAATAGTAAGATTAATAATTTTAACACGAATTTTCTCAATATTTCTTATGTTTCTTTTTACTGTTGATGGTAATTGAAAAATTGATTCTCCAAAATTCATTTTTATTTCTAGTCTGACGCGACGCTTGAACGTGTTTCGTAATAACTTATTACATTTTCAAAGACTTTAGTTTACACACACACACAACTGTAACCTGAAAACCCTAAACAGAGTTCTACTTATGCTAACACTAAACAGCTTGTCTTATATACTCACATTTGGGTGAGGTGATATGTTGCAACAGTTTTGGATGAGGTGAACAAACTTTTGACCAACACAAGACAGAACACGGAACAATGCAATCCAATTAATACCCATTGTTCCATGTTCTGTCTTGTGTTAGTCAAAAGTTTGTTAACCTCATCCAAAACTGTTGCAACATATCACCTGCATTGGTTCCCTAATGTGTTGCTTAAGAAAGCAATCGTCAATTAATTCAAGAAAATCTTCTACTTCATTATTCCCTGTTCTGTTAATCCAGTTTATTCCAATAAAATTAAAGTCACACATGACTCAAAAACTGTTAGACCTAGATGCTCTAGATATTTCATCCCATAAATGCTTTGCTTCCATTCTAAGATTGGTGGCCTGTATATAACTCCCATTATAAGATTTTTAGCTTTTTCGTTTAATTCTAGGCAGATAGTTTGTGTGTGTGGCTCAGTTTTGATTCCCTCTTTGAGACTACATTTCAAATTTTCC